ATTGAAGTTTGGTGTACATTTTCATCCAAAGGATTTTTTAGAAATAGCTTGTGAATTTAACATCCCTGTCAGATAAAATAGCCTTGGGTAAACCATGTAATATGACGACCTCATTAAAGTATAGTTTGGCAATATGGGATGCATCAAATGTCTTAGAAAATGGTAAGAAATATGTCATTTTGGAGAATCAATCGACTATGACATAGATGACGTCATTCCTACGAAAAATCTTGGGCAAGCCAAGGACGAAGCCCATGCTGACATCTTGCCACGGATAGCTGGGAACTAGTAAAGGAGTGTAGAGACCAGTGCTTTGCTTACGTTGTTTGGTCAATTGATAAGTGTGACACTTATTGACCATTTTACCCCCATCCTTCTTCAGGCTAGGCCAGAAGAAGTGGTACTCTACGGCTTCAATAGTCTTATCGCGACCGAAGTGTCCAATGAGGCCTCCGACATGAAGTTCCCGAACGAGGAATTCTCGTAGGAAAGTGATAGGGATACAAAGCTTCTGAGCTTTAGAAAGGTATCCGTCTTCAAGGAGAAAATCATCCACAAGGTTCGTACTGCCTGTGGACAAAAGGGAGTAAGTCTCCTCGAAATCAGGATATTCCAAGTAATCCTCTTTGACTCGCTGAAAACCTACAACTTCTGCTCTCATTTCAGTGGTTTTCATCATACGACAACCGAGAGCATCAACAGCCTTATTTTCAACTCCAGCCTTATGCCTAAGGGTATAAGTGTATTCCTATATAACTCTACCCAACGTCCATGGCGTGCATTCAACTTCTTCTAGGAGCTGATGTAACGAAGGGCCTCGTGATCCGAAAAGATGACGAACTCTTGCGGGAGCAAGTAGTGTCACCAATATCGAAGGGATTGGATCACAACATAGAACTCTTCGTCGTACGTGGAATAGCGTTGTTGGATGTCGTTTAGCTTTTGGTTAAAGTAGGCAATAGGGTGACCTTCCTATGACAGGACTCCTCCAATTCCAACCCCCGAAGCATCACATGTAACGTCGAAGACTTTGGAGAAGTCAGGAAGTCTCATCACTGGGGCTTCCACCATTCTTTTCTTAATTTCCTCAAAGGCTTTGGTGTTAGCCGAGGTCCAGTGAAAGTCACCTTTCTTAAGGCAATCAGTGATAGCAAACACCATGGTGCTAAAGTTTCTAATGAATCTCCTATAAAAGGCGGCCAAACCGTGGAAGTTGCGGACTTCCAAGATGTTTTGAGGAATTGGCCATTCTATAATGGTCTTCACCTTCTCGGGATATGCAAAGATGCCTTAGGCAGACATGATAAAGCCCAGAAAAACTACTCGGTCAACAAGGAAGGTGCATTTCTTATGATTAGCATAAATTTATTCCTTCCTTAAGACTTCACAAACTTGCCTTAAGTGGTCTAAGTGTTGGCTCACGGATTGACTATAGATTAGAATGTCATCGAAGTAGACAACAACAAATTTACCCATGAAAGGGCGCAACACCTATGTCATGACTCTCATGAATGTACTCAGGACATTACTCAACCCGAAAGGCATGACCATCCACTCATATAGACCATCCTTGATCTTCAAGATAGTCTTCCACTCATCATCAGGTCGTATCCGAATTTGGTAGTACCCACTCTTAAGGTCAATCTTGGAGAAAAGAGTGGCTCCAATTATTATGTCAAGCATATCGTCTAACCTCATGATAGAAAAATGATATTTAATAGTGATTTTGTTAATAGCACGGCTATCAACGCACATTCTGCACGTACCATCTTTCTTCGGTGTAAGGACTGGTATAGCATAAGGGCTGACACTTTCCTTGATATAGCCCCGCTGCAGTAACTCATCTACTTGTTTCTTAAGCTCAGCATGTTCCGTGGGGTTCATGCAATAGTGGGGCAAGTTGAGAAGGGAGGCTCCAGGGATAAGATCTATAGCATGCTGGATGTCTCTAAATGGGGGTAATTAATGAAGGAGATTATCAGGGAAGACATCAACAAAGTCCCTCAGTGTGGGTTGGACCTCCTAAGGAATAGGCTCATCATACTCTGGCCAACCAAGGCGTACAGGGGTGCGCCTTGGGCAATCTCAGAATCTAGGACCTTGTTTGTCACAAGGTTCAGCCCTTTCATAGGCTTAACTGGATTAGGTTTGGGGTCATCTCTAACCCTGGGCTGCGTAGGTAGAAGCTTAATCTTCTTGCATATATATATTCAAACATACAGGTGTTTGAATGCCCATAAATGTGAACATCATTGTCAAAGATCCAGGGATGCCCTAGGATGAGTTGTCCAACATCCATCACCAGAATGTCACACCACATGTTCTCCTTATAGTCAGTGAAAAAGATGGGTATGAGGCTTCGTTCCTTCACCTCTAAAGCAGTGGAGTTGGCCCAGGCTATCTTGTAGAGGTTAGGGTGAGGAACAACAGACAAACTAAGTCTAACAGCATGCTGGAAGAGACAACATTGATGCAACTGTCACTATCCACTATGACTTTACGGTTTTTATCCTTAATTTTAGTGTGTGTGAAATATTGAGGTCCTACGCCAGTCATCAGTGGCAACAGGTAGTGATAGTGCACACCTCATCACACAGATGAGAGAGTTGTCTATTTTTCGTATACAGTGGATGACAGTAGTGTCGTCATCCTCAAAGTATTCGCCATCATCTTCAACTTCGTGAATCTAGTCGGCCTCGGGCTCAGGCTCTTCTTCAGTGATCTCCTCAATAATAGTGACTTTGTAAGGACTAGAACATTGAGAGTAGATATGTCCATATCCCTGGCCGCATCGAAAGCACTTGGTCCCTAGGTAGGACCTAGGAGTATCTAGGGTGGGAGGCTTACTTCTAAAGTCAGGATGGGGTGTGGGAGGACCAGAAGGTGGTCGGGCAGTGTTTCCAAGGGTCGGTCAGGCAGTGGAGTGGTGAGGGGCTGAACCACTGGAGGGTCAGTAGGAAGGTCTAGAGTCGTGGTGCTGACTAGAGTGTTGGGGGCAGGTTTCCTCAAGGTCTAACACTATGCTGTAGACATTTTTAAGAGTAGTAACGTTCCAGGAAAACAGTTTGTTGCGCACGTCCTCGCGCAACCTGGTACGAAACATGGACAAAATTTTAGCGGGGGTAGTAGAGGTCTCCCCCTTGCAGCGAATCAGATAATCGTCAAAAGTTGTAATGTATTCCTTCACCAGTTTGTTGCCCCGTGTTAACCTATTCGACCTATCTAGGAGCCTATGGAAGTACGAAGGAGGTAAGTATTTCTACTTGAGCTCGAGCTTCATTGAATGCCAATCAGTGATGGGGTATTCGTTATGGGATTCCCTAAGGCTTTCTATGTTGGCCAAATACTGGCTAGCTCTACCCGTGAGTTTTATCTCAGCGAACCTAACCTTCCTAGCTTCAGAAATGTTGTACCGCTTAAAAAAACTATCCATGCCCTTGATCCAGTCCAGAAAGAGCTGGGGATCGAGAGTTCCGTCAAAGGTTGGGACATCGACCTTAATTTTTTTCAACAAAGGTGCATAAGGGTCGTTATGAAAGTCGTGATCGTACTGTGGAGCTCGATAAGGGCACGGAGGTGTCCCTCATCCTGTACGGTGTCATCCCCATACATGGAATGAGGTTTGGACGATGTGTAAGATATGGAATGGTTCCTACCTCGATCTAAGGTATCAAATCGTTTCGTCATCTGACGGTGGAGCTCGGCTAAATCAACTTGGTTTTTCCTAAGTTGTTGATTGATAGTGTTCATTTGACCTACCAACAGATCTAAAATTCTGTGAATTTGTTCTGAGTCCATTCATATGTCTAAAGGTAACTCATACTTACGCAAACTTCAAGAAAATTAATATGATAACAAGCAAGTGATTTTGATGCGTGCAGGAAGCGATTTAGATGCTAAGATACGTAAGAAGAAAATCCTAATAGGCACCTAAATGCAACCATGCTCTGATACCAAAATGATGTATAACTAAATGCGTGGGAAATTATGCAATGTTGAAACTAAACGCATTTTAAATTAAAACAACAATAATTAAGTTTACTTTTAGCGATTTAAATAAATCTTGAAAATAAGAAAGATGTGATTTAAGCTTAGGCCAAACTACACTATAAGAGTTAGAATCATGATTAATCAATTCCAATCAAACTTAGCATAGCATTGAGATTTTCAAAGGAAATACCTAATTTAACATTTAGACTAGTCACAAATGGGATCCACTCACTCACACTCTTGATGTTTGGTTAAGCGGAGACAAATTACACAACCTTTATGATACCACAATGAAGGGAAAAACTTATAAGAGAAAAGACTTGGAGGAGAGTTCACCATTGTCAGGGTTCGGAAGTTAGTTACCACTAGACGAGAGGGTGTTGTTGTTGGATAGTGGTGACAAGGGAGAAGATCATTTCTACATAGTCTTCAACGGGTTGGTCGTCGGCAAAATCGATGTATGTCGAAGAACGGTGATCGGAGAATGTCGATGTACCCTTGGTCATTGAATTCGAAGCCGTGATCTTGTTGTACGTTAGCAAACCTGAACCAAACCGGTAAAGATGGGCTCAACCGTGAGGACCACCTGCTTTGCTACAGACTCCACATCCTCTGCCATTCCAGACTACCACCAACGGCCGCAAAAAATCTCCTCTCTACCTTTTCACATGCCATATTCTATATATACAAGACTCATCTACAAACTGATGATATGCTTTTCTGCTCTTAAGTTATGTGCTACAGTAAAAGCTCATTCTCTCCTTCATCTTCTTCCTTATGTTTAATTTCTACTGTTAGCGCTTCTTCAGTTAAATCATATCCATTCACTCAAAACAGAAACCAAGCTAATTCGAAAACTCCATTAACTCAAAACAGAAACCAAGCTAATTCGAAAACATATATCAAATAGAGCTATATCGAAAAAAGCATAAACAAATACAAGATATGCTGCGCGACATCAAGAAGCGTGAGAAGTAAAATACAATGATAGGAATAACAAAAAAGATCACCAGTGAAGGGCTTCCTTTTCACATGAGGATCGAGCTGATTACACCACCGAAGCCGGCAAGATTTTCCCGAACGCCCTGGAACCCCTCTTGCAATCAGGCTCCAATTTCTGGGCCCAAACTTAGCAACCAGCCGGCTAAGGATGGCGTCTTCCTCCGGTGACCACGGTCCCTTCACCCGATCTTCTCTGGAAGCAGCCGCCGACTTCATCCCAAATCCTTCTGCTTGCGATCCGGAACACTCGATGGAGGCCGAAGGGGAAGGAGGAGGCGGAAGAGGAGGAGAAGAAGAAGCTAGTTTCTCCGTTGTTGGAGGAGGAGTTTCCTCCACAGCCATGAGGTCGGCATCGGAAGCCATTGATGGCGAGAGAGAGAGAGAGAGAGAGAGAGAGAGAGAGAGAGAGAGTACCGACCGAGTTAACCGCAACTTGACTCGGAGCTGAAGGTTGGGACCAGCAAGACCTACTATTATATAGTCAGTAAATAAGAGAGAAACGAATTTTGAACTACGTTCCCAGCTCTACACAGCACAATTTTTTTTTTTTTTTTTTTTTTTTTTTTTTTTCAAAATTTACTCTTTCTTGAAACATTTAAAAAAAAAATGATATGTAATTCTATTGTGTTCTATTTTGTTTTGTTCTATTTTTATTTTAATTCCTTTATCTATAGGTGTGAGATGATTAAGAGAGTTATAAATGAATCTAGAGTTTTTAAGAGAAATTAGACTATATCTATTCCATTTGTCTTATGGGAGTGTGAGATCAAGAGAGGCATAAGTGGAAGTGGAGGTTTAAGTATTCAGACATGTGCATATCATGTTTCATATACTACCTTAGCAATTCATTAAGTAACGCATATTAAGACTTATGTACAGAGTTAAGTGATATTAAAGATAAAGTTAAAATTTTTTATGTTAACAAGCAAGTTCAACAGATATCCAAGCTATGTTCAAGCTTATATTTTGATACATGTCCAAGTTTCCAAATTATATATAACACCCTTTTAATAAAGTTGAAGATGCAAGTACAAGCAAACATAATGTTAATGTTGTATAAATGATGAAGTTACTCTTTGTTATTTTTATAAATGTTATCTAAATAATTTATGAAATATTTTATTTATATAATCACAAATGTGAATTTTGATTTTTTCGATGGAATTTGGGATAACCTACTGAGCAAGTAGTTGCTCACTCTGCAAATTAAATGTTATTTTTAAAAAAATGAAAAAAGTTGGTTGAGTAGAAGTTGATAAAGTTAGAGTTCATCAGGAGCTAACTTCTAGAGAACACTTTTTAATATTAGCTTTGAAAATTTAAAATGAAGATCTAAAAATTTTGAGGTGCAACTTTGTGAGCACAACATTGTTGAGCCTCAGGCAGGGAGCGTAGTAGGACTAGGTAGTTGAGCGTCACGGTGCTAGATTAGATTAGTAGTTTTTAAAATAATAAAATATCTCCATCCATTTCATTAACCCTCGCCAACTCAGGCATTCCCGGTTTCATGCACAACTTGTTTGGGAAGAAAGGAGAGAATGTTGCTTAGAGTATTTTTCATCCGTCGATTCTACTCTAAAATTTCTTTTAATTGTGATAAGTAACATAAATTCTACCTTCATTTTTAGTGATTTTGTATTTCATAATTTTAATCCTTCCAAAATTAATAAAAAGGTATTTTCTCTCATTTTATCAATCTTTTACATTGTAATTTTTTGTATGTGATATATACAACTCTTATGAGCATTTTGACTGTAATATTATGAAATTTCAGTGGATATAGTTATGATTTTTTAATATATATATATATATTTTTGTATTTCATAATTTTAATCCTTCCAAAATTAATAAAAAGGTATTTTCTCTCATTTTATCAATCTTTTACATTGTAATTTTTTGTATGTGATATATACAACTCTTATGAGCATTTTGACTGTAATATTATGAAATTTCAGTGAATATAGTTATGATTTTTTAATATATATATATATATATATATATATATATATATAATACATCGTCAAAAAATTATCTTGATCGGGCACGAATCTCGATGCAGAATCAAGTTGGAAACTTC